ACTTCCAACTGACTGGTGCTTTTGCAAATGTAAACACATAACCAGTAGTTGATCGACGCTTGTCCAAATCACCTGCATAGTCTAAATCACAATACCCAACTACACACTGACCATCTTGTTTGTCCTGCTGAAAGACCAAACCAATATCTACGGTGTTCAGAATATACCGCAGAATCCATTTCATAGCTTCCCAATGCTCCTTTCCAGGATCATGCATATACCTGCTCACAACCCCAACTGCCTGTGAAATATCGGGTCTCGTATACACCATTGCATACATTAAGCTACCAACAACACTTGCATATGGAACCTTTGACATGTATTCCCGTTCTGCATCATCCTTAGGTGACATGGATGCATCGAGCTTGAAATGAGAAGCAAGAGGTGTACTAACTGGTTTTGACTTCTCATTCATGCCAAAACGTTTTAGTACCTTCCTCAGATATTCTTTCTGAGACAAACAAAGCCTCCCCAATTTCTTATCCCTTGATATCTCCATGCCTAGAATCTTCTTTGCTTAACCAAGATCCTTCATCTCAAACTCACTGTTCAATTGAGTCTTTAGTTTCGCAATTTCTGTCTGACTCCTGGAAGCTATTAGCATATCATCAACATAAAGATGAAGATATATATAGGATCCGTCTTGTAGCTTGCGTAAATACACACAATGATCATTTTTGCTTCTTGTGTACTTCTTCCCTATCATAAACTTGTCAAATCGCTTGTACCACTGCCTTGGAGATTGCTTCAATCCGTATAGCGATTTTTCTAATTTGCACACCATCTCTTATTTTTCAGCAACTTTGAATCCATCTGGCTGAGTCATGTAGATTTCCTCATCCAAGTCTCCATGTAAAAATGCAGTTTTTACATCCATCTGAACTAGTTCCAAATCCAACTGTGCTACCAAAGCCAACAAAATTCTGATAGATGAATGTTTTACAACTGGAGAAAATACTTCATTATAATCAACTCCCTCCGTTTGAGCGTAGCCTTTAGCCACCAATCTTGCTTTATGGTGGATGTTATTCTAGTCAGGAAATCCATCTTTCTTTGCATATACCCACTTGCATCCAAATGCCTTCTTTCTCTTCGGAAGACTAGCTAGTTTCCACGTTTGATTCTTTTGAAGGGATTGCATTTCTTCATTCATGGCGATCCTCCACTTTTTATGTTCTGAACTTTGGACTGCTTCATTAAAAGTGGCAGGAACGTCATCAATTGCAATTGGTGATGCAAAAGAGACCATATCAGCATAACGAGCAGGTTATCTAAAGGTCCTCTTTCCCTTTCTGAGTTCAATTGATTCATGTTGCTGTGGAGGTTCTTGGGTCTGAACCTCTTCTTCATCTGACTCTTCTTCTACCATAGGAGAGTCAACATCAGTTTCTTTACTGGCTGGGTCAATTCTGCTTCCTTCAAACTCCACCTGTTTGGGAGTTCCATCTGTCTGCTCCAATTTTTCTGAAGTCACCTTTCTCAACATGGTAGATTCATCAAAGGTAACATCCCTGCTAAAGATTATTTTCTTTGTTTCTGGACACCAAAGACGATAGCCTTTCACACCAGAGGTGATCCCCATAAAGATCGCCTTCTTTGTTATTGGATCCAGTTTTGACTCCTTAACATGGTAGTATGCAGTGGAACCAAACACATGTAAGGAATCATAATCTGTAGCAGGTACTCCAAACCATTTCTCTAATGGTGTTTTACCACCAATAGCAGTCGATGGTAAGCGGTTGACAATGTGACAAGCATAGACCAAAGCCTCAGCCCAAATTCTTTGCCTAACCCAGCATTAGACAACATACATCAAACCTTATCCACTAATGTTCGGTTCATACGCTCTGCCACCCCATTCTGTTGTGGTGTACTTCTGACAGTGAAGTTCCTGACAATACCTTCTTCTTCACAGACTTTCAGAAATGGATCATTTTTGTACTCTCCACCATTGTCTGTACAGAGACATTTGATTTTTCTACCTGTTTGAGTCTCCACCATCTTTTTCCATTTAAGGAAAAATCCTAGCACCTCATCCTTTGTCTTCATTGTATACACCCAAACTCTTCGGGAAAAATCATCAAAAAATGTGACATAATAGTGTGTTCCTCCCAATGAAGTTGTCTTGGAAGGCCCCTATACATCTGAATGAACATAATCCAAAATACATTTAGTATCATAGATTGCTGTTCCAAATTTCACCCTCGTCTTCTTCCCTTTGATGCAATGCTCACAAAAAGCTAATTTGCAAGCCCGAGCACCCTTCAATAATCCTTGATCTATCAGCAATTTCAAGGATTTTTCACCAACATGCCCCAAGCGCATAACCTGGCTTCTGATTCTTGTTCATCAGTAGAAACTGTCACTGCTGCTGTCCCAACAATTGTACTACCCAGAAAGTAATACACATTGTTTCTTTTTCGGATTCCTTTCATTATCACCAGTGAACCAGAGATATCCTCATAATCTCATCTTTTTCTCTCACTTCTAAACCTTTTGACTCTAAGGTTCCCACAGAGATGAGATTTCTCATTAAATCTGGTACATAATGGACACCTGTTAAGGTTCTGATTGATCCATCCTGATTCCTCAAGCGAATTGAACCAATCCCAAGTGTGTCAAGAGGGGAATTATTTGATGTGTAGATAATTCCACCTTTTAGTTCTTTAAAATCAAAGAACCATTCTCAATTGGGGGTCATATGGTGGCTACAAGCTGAATCTAACAGCCATGAACTGGAACAGCTGGTTGATGGCATAGCAACGAATGTGAAATCTAAATCTGCATCATCATACTCGACCACATTTGATTATGAGACAACCTTTCCCCTTTCAGGTTTGCCTTTGTTCTTTAGCCTGGGACATTCTTTCTTCCAGTGCCTTTTTTCTCGACAAAAGGCACATTCATCTTTGCTCAATCTGGACTTTGACTTCGATCTCCCTCTCATTCCTTTATTCTGACTCTTCGAACGACCTCTAACAACAAGAGCTTCTACTTCGACACTTGTGTTTTCTTGTTTGTCTTTTTTTCTCAATTCATAATTATACAAGGCAACAGTTACTTCACTGAGAGACACATCAACTTTCCCATGAAGTAGAGTAGTTTCAAGATACTCAAACTCACCAGGAAGTGATCCCATCAACATCAGAGCCAGATCTTCGTCTTCAAAAGTCACGTCCATATTCATCAGATCAGTTACCAGCTGATTAAAGCTAGTAATGTGATCATTCATAGTGGTACCTGGTACATAGTTGAAGCGGAACAATCTCTTTTTCATGTAGAGCTTGTTCTGACCGCTTTTCTTCAAAAATTTCTCCTCCAGTGCCTTCCACAATTTACTTGCAGAAGTTTCCTTAGAAAATGCATACTTCTGCTCTATAGAAAGACACGATCGAATAGTACCACATGCCAATCTGTTGATCCTCTTCCATTCTTTCTCCTCAACATCATCTGGTTTCTCTCCTTCAATAGCAATGTATAGACCCTGCTGAAATAGGGCATATAGAACCTCACTTTGCCACATGCCGAAATGACCGGTGCCATCAAAAATCTCCACTGCAAATCTAACATTTGTCACAGCTGTTAACGACGATGTGGATGTTTTTATTGCGTCTGCCATTTCTACTACAAATTTTATTTAATAGTTGTCAATGCGGAATGTTAATTATCCCAAGGAAATTTTTTTTGATGTGGAAGATCAGCCTAAGCCGCAACCACAGATCATATTAAAATAAACCAAGAGCTCTGATACTAATTGTTATGGAATTCGGATTAATTTTCACCAATAATAACAAATTCACCTTGAAAACTATTATCTAGGTGACTAGTGTAAAAACGATTATACTAAAAATCACCCCAAGGTAGATTCCCAGGAAAGAGGAGGGGTCACAATGGTCCCTCTTAAAACCCATTTTCCTTAGACAGAACTACCAAGACAAGTAATTTTAATAGGACAATAATTAACAACAATTATATCCGACATTAGCTATTAAATAGACATAAAGAGAACACCAAGATTTAACGAGGTTAGGCCAAAATTATGCCTACCTCATCGAACACCACTAAAATAATATTTCACTAATAGAGGAAATATTACAAAGAGAGAAAGAGTACAAATATCCTTTAATAGTGAGGAAGGCTTATATTTGTGGGATGCTAAACTAAGGAGGAGAAGGGCTCTATTTATAACAAAAGAATTTCCCCTCCTCCTTATACAAAACCAATGCGAGATATTTGCCAAAAACCAACATGATGAACATCTGCTCGCACTCACATATCACTTGTAAGTCATTTTATAAGTGAAGTGAAGGATTGGATTTGTTATGTTTATTCAGTTAAAAAGTTGTGTATATTCATAAATAAAATTGAACTTCTTCTCAAATTTGGGTTGTTTTTAATCATTTTTATTCTCAAATTCATTTTTCCTAAAATTTTTTGATAATATTAGCACATAAAGAAAAGAAAGTTATTATGGATACATATAATTGAGTGCATGAATTGATTCCAAACTTGCATCTTAATGTAAGGTAAAGTTTTGATTCTAAATTTGCATCTTAATATACTAATTTGCTCTGGTAAAGTATTTCTTTCCCTTGGGACACACACAAACTGTATCTTTCTGCAACAATATTTGATTCTAAACTTAAACCCTACCTCTTAAAGAAGGGATGGGCAACCCCAAGTACAAGACCCTAAAAGTAAAATGGTTTGCATATCTTTCAAAATAGGTAAAGGGAACTCGAACATTTGAAGGAAATAATCTATGCCCTTGTCTTTTTTTCTTGTCATGTCTTTTTACACAGTAAATGTAATTTTATTAATATAAATAAAATTGTCAAAAGGTTCCCAATCAACACTTCAAAGAAACACAAACAAGTACAAATGTCACATATCCTAAACTTGCAACTCTATATAATGTGGTTTCTGAAAACCATGATAATCTTAAACACATAATTTCAGTGAGAGTTGAAACATAAATAAAGAAAAAGAAAGAGTTAGAGATGGAGTCTCAGAACTTTGGGCACATGCATACAATGGTGTTCAACGAGGAGAGGGGCAATGAAACCAAAGAAGCTCATTGCGGCATATGTGTAGAGATGGTGTCCGGTCCATGCTTCATCTGTGCCGAATGTGGATTTTCACCCTCTTGTTCTTCGATCAAAACACCCATACAAGGGAGACTGTCCTTGTGATTTTTGCGATGAAAACTGTGAGTTCTTTGTTTATCATTGCTCTTGTCAAATAGACTTGCATATCAAATGTGCTTTATTTACCCTAAGCATAGCCGGAAAGAAACCTGAAGAGCTTAAACACATAGCCACCATTGATCCACCAGTGCTCCCGGGAGAGGGTAACAAATCATCTGAAAACTATGTCTTTTTTGGGTGTCAGGAACCATTAGGAGAGTCTACCTACATTTCTAGTGATTGTGGGTTCAACCTACACAAGAAATGTGCCCAACTACCCCATGAAATCAACCATCCCTTTCACAAACAACACCACCTTGTTCTACAGTTTAACGGTGAACGTTCCTCCTGTAACATATGCCAACAGACACGAGATAGGAGATTTCTTTATTGTTGTTCACCGTGTAAGTTTGCTCTTCACATTAAATGTGCGGAGTTACCTTCTAAAATCAGTAGCCCCTCCCATCGTAGGCACCCTCTTGTTTTACAGTCCAACCATGAAAATATACCTTGCAAGGTATATCCAAAAACCCAAAACCCAAAATCTGTTTATTCTTGTTCACCCTGTAAGTTTGCTCTTCATACCGAGTGCGCAACACCACCACCTTTCATTAAAGGAAAATACCATGAGCACCCATTCACCCTGTTTTGGAAACAAACCCCGTTCATTTGTGATGCATGTGGCCTCGAAGGGAATTCTGTTTCCTATATATGTTCTGCATGCAACTTTGTAATCCATCCAAAATGTGCTTCAATACCGCCTATCATCTAAGTCCGACGACATCATCACGCCGTTTTTCACAACTATTTCCTCTCAGGAAATGAGTTCAAGAATCGGGTTTGCGAGTTTTGTGACACTGAGGTTAATATAGATCATGGGAGTTACTATTGCTCAGATTGCAATTTTATCGCCCATGTGAAGTGTGCAATGAGAGAAGGCTGGTACGTTGTAATTGAGGCAAAAAATTTAGATGAGGAACTTGATGATGATTTGGCATCCATTAATCCCATCACTCGTGTCATTGAGCTAAATGAGGCTGGGGAAATGACCAGAATAAAACATTTCAGTCATGCACATGATCTGATATTAAGTGACAATTTCATGGATAATGATAAGACTTGTGATGGTTGCATGCTACTCATCTCGGCTTCATTTTACTATTGTTCCTCATACTGTGACTTTTATCTCCACAAAACTTGTGCTAGATCACCCAGGAAGAAGATGGAATGGTCTCATCCACATATACGAGGACTCATCCTTGTTATCGGCTACATTTTCAAATGCCGATTTTGCGATTGTGAGAGTAGCGGCTTTGCCTATAAATCTGATGTAATGAGCATTATTGCCTTCCATGTGTGGCTAATAGAGGTTATAGAATCAAACATCCAGCACATGAACACTCTCTCTTCTTTTTAGAAGGGTTCCAATGGAATTGCAAAGGTTGCGGTTGCTTGACGAGAAGCGCATATAGATGCAAGCGTTGTGATTTCAATCTGGATGCTTGCACATCATTACCGCTTTCGAGACAGGTGTGATGAACATCCGCTCGCACTCACATATCTGGAGGACAATGATTATTCAGAATATCTTCACTGTAACATATGTGAGAAAAGAAGAGATCAAAATCACTGGTTTTATCATTGTGCAATTTGTGATTTTTCTGCTCATCCCCAATGTGTTCCTCAAAGCCGTCTGTTGATCAAACCTGGAAGCACGTACAAAGCAGAAGGCCACCACCCGCATCCTCTTACTTTTGTACGCAAGCCTCATTATTATCTTCGATGTAGCAAATGCAGTAATCTCTGTCAAGATTTGGCTCTCCAATGTGCAGACTCTACATGCAATTATACTGTCCACTGGGGATGTGTAAAGCCCGTTGACTTCGATCCTGACAAACCAGTTGCGTTTTACAAAACTCAATCAGATTGCTAAAACTGAAGGAAAACATGATTATAAAAAACAGGGTATGTTCATTTGCTAATTCCTCCTCTGTAAATATTTTCTACTTTGATTTAACTCTGCAGATTCAATCATAGCTCATCAATCATCTTAATTCTTTTTTCTTCTTGGTTCCATTTTCTGTAAGGTTCAATGGGGATGGATCAAAGAAGCAGGTTCAACTGCATATATGGATGAGAAAGCTTGGTTTCAAACATGGAGTTGCATTACTTCTATTTGATTGCTGGTTTTATTGTGTTTTTTATTTTCATTGTCTGCAAAAATAAAAAGTGTGGTGTGTAAGAAGTGTTTGAAGATAATAACTAACGTCTCACTTGTAAGTCATTTTATAAGTGATGAAGTGAAGGATTGGATTTGTTATGTTTATTCAGTTAAAAGGTTGTGTTTATTCATAAAGTGTGGTCTGATTTTTCATTATCCGATGCCTATTTAGGGAATTAATTAGTTTGACGATATAACTTTTTGTTTTTTAGTAATTCCGTATTTACATGTAAAAAAATAAAACATAGATGAATATAAAACAAACTTTGTGAACAAATATCAAATATACTAATTTGTGGTTGCAAGTAAAGTGCTTGGGACACTTTGTGAATTTTAAAGTGTTTAGGGGCATTCTAAATAATTAACACCACATTTTCTTTTCACGTTTTACTTTTCGATCCTTTGATAAAATTATGAATCCTACGGTGGGTTACAGTATAAAGCCTTTATTTATCATTTTTTATGAGAATTTAATTAATTATTTCCGAATAAATTCGACGACGACAAGAAATGTAATATTATTAGTAAACACTAATCTACGTGAAGTATTAATAACTTCCATCTCTACATTAGTAAGGGTAAAACAAAATAATAAATTATTTCTAAATAAATTATTTTTTAAGGTATTAGTATTAGATTATTAAAAGAAAATATTAATACACAATTGAGTGGATTCTATGCATTAGTAAGGGTCAAATTATAATTTATTTTTGAAACATAAAGTTAAAAATGAAAAAAAATCCAAAAATCTTAATTTTTACTGTTGGTTTCAAATCGTTGTTTTCCTCGTAAACTTTTTTCCACCCATTGACCATTAGTTTTATAGTCAAAACAAATTTTTTTTAATTAAAATTACTTTTAGAGAAGACATTAGCAAACGAACCCTTAAAGCCTTCGTCCTTAAACTTTTTAATAGAAAGTTATTAGATATAAATACATTTAAATGTATAATATTAATAAAAGTTATGAGGTAAATACATTTAATTGTATAATATTAATAAAGTGTCAATTGGATTAAACTCGAATTATAAAAAAATGTTTATTGTAATCAACTCCCGTTTATCGGACTTAATGTTTCTCATATATATATATATATATATATATATATATATATATATATAGGAAAATATTGCGGAATACGACTATCGGATAGAGAAAAATCGTAATTGATAATTTGAGAAAATAAAATAAAGATAAAGAAGACACAAATTTTACGTTAAAAATCCCTAAATAATATAGAGTAAAACCCACGGGCAAAGGTAGAATAATTTCACTATGAGAAAATAGGAATTACAACTTCTCTCGATCTAACAAGGAGAAAACAATGACAATTCTCTCTTGATAAAAAAGAGAAAACAATTATCAAGAAAACTCTCTAATTTATCTAGTATTGGGAGAAAGCTAGAATGATATGGGATGATTTTGAAGCTAAATGGGTTAGTGTATTTATAGTTGAAGCTTAAGGACTAATCTTGTAAATACTCTAAAGTACAAAGACTAAATGAGCAATTTTTTCATGTCATTTTCAACCAAATCATGTTGCCAAATTTCAACCATTGTTGTTGTCAACTTATTGCACCGAAAGTTTGGCCAAGTTGGCCACTTGACTTTTCAACAATCTCCCACTTGAAGATTTGATTGAAACAATCATATATTCACACCATTCTTTCTACATTGTACCTTCATGTTGCTTACATTTTTGAGAGGCCACAAGAGGATCGACACCAAGTAAATTTATCGGTATTGACCGCCTTCGTCATGGAATTTGTTATGTTGACTTTGGTATGGATTTTCTACATGTCTACCGTCCCTTCTTCTACATTTTCACGAATGAAGTGGTACTGAAATTGTATGTGTTTTGTTTTTGAATGAAATGTTGGATTCCTTGCTAGATGAAAGGCGTTTTGACTGTCACAAAATAGAGAGACAAACTCTTGATTGTGCCCAAGCTCCTCTAATAGCATATTCAACCAGATTGCTTCTTTACTGCTTGTGTAGCTACTACATATTCTACCTATGTTGTGGACGTAGCCACAAATGCCTACAATTTTGAAACCCAGTTTACAGCTCCACCAGCTACTTTGAACACATATCCTGTAGTATATTTGCTTTTATCCAAATCCCATGCATAATCAGAATCAACATACCCATTGATAAGTAAATTTGATCCTCCGTAACATAATGAAACATTTAAGGTCCCTTTGATGTATCTCAAGGTCCTCTTTACTGTATTCCAATGCACTTTGACTAGATTCGCCATGTACCGACTAACCACTCCCACTGCTTGTGTAATGTCTGGTCTTGTGCATATCATAGCGAACATTAAACTTCTCATTGCCAATGCATATGGTACTTGAGACATCTCCATCATCCCTTCTTCACTGTTAGGACTCATACTGGAGGATAATTTGAAGTTAATAAGAAGAGAGGTAGAAATTAGCTTACAATCTTGCATGTTGAATCGTGACAAGATCTTCTTCAAGTAATTCTTTTGTGAAAGCCAAATCTTCCTATTACTTCTATCTCGGTGAATTTGCATCCCAGAATCTTGTTTACTGATACTAAGTCCTTTATTTCAAATTCCCTAGCCAGTTGTTCCTTCAATTCTCCAATATGATCTTTGTTGGGTTCTGCAACCAACATGTCATCCACATACAACAACAATATAACAAAATCGTTATCACCAAACCTTTTGAAATAAGCACAAGGATATGCATTAAGTATGTTGTATCCAAGACACATAATAAATGAATCAAATCTCTTATACCAACACCTTGGCACCTGCTTTAAACTGTACAGAGATTTGTTCAACCTGCAAACCAAGTTCTTCTTTTCTTCTTCTAAAAACCTTTAGGCTGGAGCATGTAAATCTTTTCTTTAAAATCTCCATGAAGAAAAGTTGTTTTAACATCTAACTGCTCTAGACGTAAGTTCAATGTAGCACACATTGCCAAGACTACTCGAACCGTTGTTAGTCGAACCATAGGAGAAAAGATTTCATTGAAATCAATACCTTCTTTTTAAGCATATCCTTTTACCACCAGTCATGCACGATACCTCTCAACTTTATCGTTACTATTTCGCTTGATTTTGAAGACCCATTTGTTACCAATTGGCTTCATTCCTAGTGGTGGTGGAACAAGGTCTCATTTATTATTTTTATGAAGAGCTTCAATTTTTTCTTGCATTGCAATCATCCACAGTGAAGCATCTAAGCTGTTTATTGCCTCCTGGTATGTTGATGGCTCACCGTCCTCTGTTAAAAAACAATATGCAATATTTTCTTCTATAACATAATCTGAGTGCCAATTGGGATGTCTTTTTCACATGATTTGATTGATGAGTTGTTGGAGCTTCAAAACTCTCTGGTTCTTGTTCATCATGTGCTGGTTCTGCTTCAGAAGAATCTCCTTGTTCAAACTCCTTTTCCACATGTATCTGTGTAGTCTCTGGCTTTTCAATGCTATCATATTCTTCTTTTCTTTGTAGTTTATCTTCTACAAAGATAATATCCTTACTAATGATCACTTTGCGGGCAGTGGGATCCCACAAGCGATACCCTTTTACTCCATCAGCATACCCCAAGAATTTGCATTTCCTGGATTTTGGATCCAACTTTGAAATTTTTTGGGAGTTGTACATCACGTACGCAATACTTCCAAATACATGGAGGTTTGAATAATCAACTGGTTTACCAGTCAATATCTCCATTGGTGTCTTCATCTCTATTGCAGTTGATGGAGCTCGATTTACCAAATAACAAACGATATTGACTGCTTTTGCCCAAAATTGTTTTTCTAGGCCTGCAGCCCTCAACATTGCTCTTGTTCTTTCTAACAAGGTTCTGTTTATCCGCTCTACCACTTCGTTTTGTTGAGGAGTGTTCGCCACTGTGAATTGTCTTTTGATGCCTTCTTTCCTGCAAAAGTGATCAAATTCTTCACTTTTGTATTCTCCTTCATTATCTTTTCAGAAACACTTAATCTTATTTCCTGAATCAAGTTCCACCCGTGCTTTGAAGTTTTGAAAGTTTGAAGCACATCTGACTTTTTCTTAATAGGGTACACCCAACATCTCATGGAGTAGTCATCAATAAATGAGACAAAGTATTTTGCTCCGCCTAGGGATGTTACTGGTGCTTGCCATACGTCAGAATGAACCAATTCTATAACATTTTTTCCTCCAGAATTTGATGTGTTAAATTTTAATCAGTGTTGCTTACTTGTTATACAATCATCTCACAAAGTAAGTGATACATTTGTTAAGCCTGGAAGTAGCTTTTGCTCCACAAGGACTTTCATTCATTGTTCTGACATGTGTCTAAGTTTCTGATGCCATAGCATTGCAGAATCTGAACTACATAAGGCAACAGAGGCTTCTGCTTCTAGTAATGTCTCTCCCTTTAACATATACAAGTTTGCTACTATCTTTTCGCATTTCATCACCATAAGTGCTCTATGGAACACCTTCATGATTCCTTTCAGTATTTCAATCTTACTTGCATTATTATCCAACAATCTATAGGATAATAAATTTTTCTTCAGATCTTTCACTTGTCGCACATCTCGAACAATTTTAATTGTTCCATCATACATCTTCAATTTGATGGTTCCAACGCCAACGATCTCTAAGGCATGATCATTGCAACTATACACAAATCCTCCTGAGAAATGTTCATAATAATGGAACCATTCTCTTTCTGAGATCATGTGTTATGTTGCTCCCGAATCAATGAGCCATATATCTGTAAATCTCTTTCTATCTTCCACGGTGGTTGGCGCTTCACAATATAGAGCATCTCCATCATATGAAGTGTTTGCGATATTGCCTTATGGATTGAAGTTTTTACCTAGACTCCAACAATCCTTCTCCAAGTGACCATTCTTTCCACAATTGTAGCACTTTAAATTCTTCTTGCTTCTCTTCTTTGATCTACCATGTTTGTGACTACTGCTTTGGCCACGTTCTGTTGATCTCCCTCTCATCGTTGTCAACGCTTCTACTTGTTGCAGATTTACTTGTCTGTCTTCCTTGTTCTTACGCCGATTTTCTTCTTGTAGAATAACAACTGCAACGTCATCGAAGACTAGACTGGTGACATTACTGTTTGTCAACTTGATGATGAGTTGATCATATGAATCCGATAGTCTTTGAAGTAGAAGTTCATCACGTTTTTGTTCTCCTGTTGTATAACTTAAGGATGTAAGATGAGAAAATAAAGTGTTCAGTGTGTTTAAGTGCTTCGTCACTGAAATAGATTCTGACATCTTGATAGTTTACAATTTCTTCTTAAGGAAAATTTTATTGTGCAACGATGTGGCCTTGTATAGTTTGGTGAGATGATCTCATATCTCCTTAGCTGTCTTCTTCTTCTCAATGTTTGACAATACTTCATCTGCTAATGCTAGATGAAGGTTTTCCATAGCATTCCCATCTATCTCGTTCCATTTGCTGTCATCTGTGAAATCTACCGAAATTTCACTAATAGCCGCTATACATCCGTCTTTCTTCAGGATGACCTTTATCTTCAATTTCCACAATGAGAAATTTCTCCCATTGAACTTTTCAATATTGAATTTTGTTGCATAGCTTCTATTACGGATAGCTCCCACTATTTCACTATCGTGAATTGTTCTCTGAGAATTTCAAAGAATGAGTAATACCTTCTTACTTTCTTATGTTGGAGGATCTATCTTTTGGTGACAACCATAAAGACATTAAGCATATATTACACACTCAAATCTAGCTCTGATGCCAATTGTTGCGAAATACGGCTATCAGATAGAGCAAAATCGTAACTGATAATTTGAAAAAATAAAATAAAGATAAAGAAGACACAAATTTTACGTGAAAAACCCTAAATAATATAGGGTAAAAACCACATACAAAGGTAGAATAACTTCACTATGAGAAAATAGGAATTACAACTTCTCTTGATCTAACAAGGAGAAAACAATGACAATTCTCTCTTGATAAAAAGGAGAAAATAATTCTCAAGAAAACTCTCAAATTTCTCTAGTATTGGGAGAAAGTTATATGATATGGGATGACCATGAAGCTAAATGGATTAGAGTATTTATAATTGAACCTTAAAGACTAATCTTGTAAATACCTTAAAGTACATGAACTAAATGATCAATTTTCCCATGCCATTTTTTCGGCCAAATCCTGCTGCCAAATTTCAACCATTGTTGCTACCAACTTATTGCACCGAAAGTTTGGCCAAGTTGGCCACTTGACTTTTCAACAGAAAAGTCTACCGCGTTTATCGTGTATCGTAATGTACCACTAAAACGATGTATCGAAAATATATCATAAGTTAAGTTGTCTTTATTATGTAAAAAATTAAAAGTATAAGGATTTATTTTATATTAACTGTTAATTAAAATTTTATTTTTTTAATAGAATTATAATTTTTTATTAAAGGGTAAACTACAGAGTTGGTCACTCTTGTTTCATTTTTATAAATGTATGGCCACTCGATTCAAAAAACTTAATTCGTAATCACTTTTGTTTCGTTTTAATTCAGATGTGATAACTTTCATTTGTATTTAAATAAGATGTGGTCATTATGACGTTAACTTCCGTTATTAAGATGCAATTTATCCGATCATCAAAAACCTCTATAAAAAGGGAACAAATTTCAGTCTAAGCATCATTCACTTCCAAAATTAAAGTCAACGCCTTTTCTGCATAGGAGAGTGACGTTCATTTTCTCATTGCATTAGATAGAGTTTTAAGGCAAAAGAAAATTGTTGTCATAGTAAATACAACACCAGCTGAGTTCAACTATGACCGAAAAAATGAGTTAATGGCTATCGACGGATCAAAATATGATATTAAAGGACTCGTTGATGCCAGCTTAGCTAAGCTCCCTCAAGTTCTCGATCATAACCACTTGAATCTTCAGATTAAATCAGGGCCTCCTCCTACACGTGAAGATCCCATTGATTATTTCGCAAATGTCAACACTAATTCCACTCGACGTGAGGTGATAATCGACGAAATTCGAAGTGCTTGTAAAAAATGGGGACTCTTTCAACTTGTTAACCACATAATCCCTGTTACAACCCTGGAAGAGATTATCAATAGGATCTGTCGGTTCAACGAGCAGGATATCAAGGCCAAAGAAAAGCTTTACTCTCGAGAAGAATCGAAGAAGGTCACATTCAACACTAAAATCGACATGTCCCAAGCTTTGGCTACCTATTGGAGGGGCACCCTCACTTGTGTCATGGCCCCTAATCCCCCTACCCTACACTCGAAGAAATCCCTGAAGCTTGCAGGGACATATTGCTACACTACACAAATGATGTAATAGACTTGGGGCATACCCTATTCGAATTGTTATCTGAATCACTTGGACTAGACCCGAACCACCTTAAGAGCATCGGTTAAGCTGAGGGACTCTACGTAATGGGTCATTACTCCCCGGCATGCCCTGAACCCGAACTCACAATGGAGATCGACATCCATACAAACAGTGGCTTTGAGAGATGTTGCATTTGACTTGAGCACTCTTTTTCCTCCTAATAGGGTTAGAGAGGTATTTTAATGAGGCTCAGGTCTTTTGTTTCCCTTCGTTGTGTTTCCAATCTTATAAATTTAAATTACCACCTTTAAAAAAACAAGATTACAATTGAGTCATTTGATTTCAAATTTATATACGAAACACTTAATTAATCGATTATCATAAATAAATTACTGGATTGTTAAAATTTAGATGGCTTCTTGACTTTGAATATTTTTATTCATGAAAAGTATTAGATTTTAGAGAGTTACAATTGAGTCACACAATTAATTAAATTGTAAGAATCTATTATTTTCCGTCATTATATAAAGTGGATTATGAACTTTAAATTTCACTATAAAATTCATTTGGTCAGCGGTGACTCCTCCAGTTCAGAGTCAATGCATACCTAAGACTCAATTGAGATTTATATAGGAATCTATAGATTGCTCACCAAGAGTGACGGTGGTAAACTTTGAATTTATATAGGCATACCAATTTTATTTATTTTAAATGATAGTTGAGAATTAATTCATTTTCATTTACCCACTTATAAAGATACATATATATTTTATTCAACCAAATGGATCCCAACATCTCGCAATCCCCCAAGGGTTGGCCTCAGTTATCTCAATCTTTGCCCATACCTACAAGCACATGGGCGATGTAATTTATCTCTATAAATAAAGATGTATGTAAAATTTCATATTAAAAAAAATTAAGAGGTAAGAAATTATAAAATGTAGAAGAATATAAACTTAGATTATTGATATAAAAATAAAAGAAATATTTAAATTATATAAAAAATTAAAATTTCTAGAGAGTACGATTATTCCCACCACTCGATTTATCTCTGTCACCGAAAATATTTAAATAGATATGAATATATTTACATTTGTTTTCCAATACTAGAAATGTTGAAACATTGAGATGCTGAAGTTTAAAATTATCCATGTTATGGAAAATTAGTAGTAAACCCTTTGACAAAAGACATTTATTAAATTCGGGTAAAGGTGCATTTTTGGACCCTATGCTATGACCAAAAGAGAAAAAAGGTCTATTCACTATATTGCTACTACAACCTTCAATGGAACTAAGCTCCGTCTTGCTGTAGGTCCCGGTTCGATCTTATGGCTTCTTGAACTGCTAAAAGTAGGCGACGATCAGACGATGAACCCATATACCTTCTTATCGGCTGAATTGTAAATTGTTCATCTTTGTATCTAATGTCAATGCATTCATCTCCCATGCTTGTCACTTTATAATGTCTTTGGTTCGAATTCCATGGTGAAGGACTAATCGAACGAGCAAGTAACTCAGCCGTGTTCAATCTTTCTTGAGTATCAAGCAACGTTTGATGCACGAAACAACTACGGTTGTTATTGTCTTTACCTATTTTGATCACCACTAAATCCTCCAGTTAACCTGTTAAAAGTGATTATAATATTAAGCTGTCACTCTAAAGCAATTGGTTAAACGCCCCGGCTTTATGGATTCGGCTAGCCAGAAAATGGCTGATTAAATCAAATATATCTAAACAATAAATTTTCGGTATTGATGGACTAAGGGAGTTAAGGAACACCTGTTATAGTCAAATTCACACGAGCACTCAAGAATTTCATTTTTAGACCGATATTTTTGCATTGCCTTTGTTAGAGGAATTTACAAAGCTTGAAGAAATGGAAGATTTCAGAGGACCGAAATAGAAGGTCTAGTAATTGATCATGTTAGTTGCGTCATTTTGTTCGCATCCAATTAAAATGCCAAGCCAAGAAAGAGGCACGTTGCAATGACAAAAAAATGACATTTTTTTATGGTTGAAACTTTATAAAATAGGAGGCCAACCCAAAGCCAACTCATTCATTTGAATATTTGTCAAAGAGATATAACTCTGAAAGCATTAAAGAGCTATTGATTCTTTTGATATTCTTTGAACTCATGCTTATGATTTGATTCGATTGCGAGCCTGAATTAAGGAGCAATGTTTTACAGAATTTTTATATACTCATATCCTTTTCCCTCATAAAATAAGAGAAAGGATAAAAAACATTTTCAAACAGGACAATCTCAAGTATGAAAGGCTGCAACCCGAGAAGAAAGTGGGGCATGGTCGGTTCCAAGTACAAGACCGATAGACAAAATAAGGTACCATCCAGAAGATAAAACATAACCAATTCATGTTACATGCATCTTAGGAATACTTAAGAGCATCACATTTATCATTATTTTTAGCATACATAATTTTTTTTGCAGCTTTTAGAGTTAAGTTTCAACGTCAAGACGAAATATACTTGATTCAAAAGCACCTTCAACAAAAGACCTTCGAGTTCGATTACACTCAGCTCGAAAACACATCATTTGCAACATAGCTCAAGGTGAGAAGGGTTATCTGCCAACAAAAGACCTTTGAGTTCACTTACACTCAGCTCAGAGGCATATCATTTGCAGCATAGATCAAGGCGAGAAGGGCTATCTGCAAACAAAAGACCTTCGAGTTTGATTACACTCAGCTCAAAGACACATCATTTGCAGCATAGCTCAAGGCGAGAAGGGCTATCTGCCAACAAAAGACCTTCGATTTCGATTACACTCAGCTCAAAGGCACATCAGTTGCAGCATAGCTCAAGGCGAGAAGGGCAATCTGCCAAGAAAAGACCTTCGAGTTCGATTACGCTCAGCTCAAAGGCGCATAATTTGCAACATAACTCAAGGTGAGAAGGGCTATTTGTCAAAAAAAGACCTTCGAGTTTGATTACACTCAGCTCAAAGGCGCATCATTTGCAGCATATCTCAAGGTGAGAAGGGCTATCTGCCAACAAAAGACCTTCGAGTTTGATTACACTCAGTTCGAAGGTGCATCATTTGCAGCATAGCTCAAGGTGAGAAGGGCTATCTACCAACAAAAGACCTTCAAGCTCGATGATATTCAGCTCAAAGGAGCATCATTTGCAGCATAACTCAAGGTGATAAGGGCTATATGCCAACAAAAGACCTTTGAGTTCAATTACACTCATCTCAAAGGCACATCATTTACAGAATAACTCAAGGTGAGAAGGGTTATCTGCCAACAAAAGAGCTTCAAGTTCGATTATACTCAGCTCAAAGGTGCATCATTTGTAGCATAGCTCAAGGTGAGAAGGGCTATATGCCAAAAAAGGCCGTCGAGTTCGATTACACTCAGCTCAAAGGCACATCATTTGTAGCATAACTTACATCAAGAAGGGCTATCTGCCAACAAAAGTCCTCCGAGTTCGATTACAGTCAGCTCAAAGGTGCATCATTTGCAACATAATTCAAGGCGAGAAGGGCTATCTGCCAACAAAATACCTTCTAGTTCGATTACACTCAGCTCATAAGCGCATCATTTGTAGCATAACTCAAGGCGAGAAGGGCTATCTGCCAACAAAAGACCTTCAAGTTCGATTACAGTCAGCTCAAATCTACATCATTTGCAATATAACTTAAGGTGAGAAGGGCTATCTGCCAACAAAAGACTTTCGAGTTCGATTACACTCAGCTCAAAGGCATATCATTTGCAACATAGCTCAAGGCGAGAACGGCTATCTGCCAACAAAAGACTTTCTAGTTCAATTACACTCAGCTCAAAGGCATATCATTTGCAGCATAGATCAAGGGCTATCTGCCAACAAAAGACCTTCGAGTTCGATTTCACTCAGCTCAAAGGCACATCATTTGTAGCATAGCTCAAGGCGGCGAGAAGGGTTATCTGCTAACAAAAGACCTTCGAGTTCGATTACACTCAGCTCAAAGGCACAACATTTGCAGCATAGCTCAAGGAGAGAAGGGTTATCTACAAACAAAAGACTTTCGAGTTCGATTACACTCAGCTCAAAGACATATCATTTGTAGCATAGCTCAAGGTGAGAAGGGCTATCTACCAACAAAATACCTTTGAGTTCGATTACACTCAACTCAAAGGCACTTCTAATTTACAGCATAACCCAAGGAGAGAAGAGTTATCTGCCAACAAAAGACCTTCAAGTTCAATTGCACTCAGCTCAAGGGCATATCAAATTTACATCATAACTCAAGGAAAGAAGGGTTATCTGTCAACAAATACCTTCAAGTTTGATTACATTCAGCTCAAGAGCATGTCAAATTCACAACATAACTAAAGTCGAGAAAAGCTATCTGTCAATAAAAACTTTTGAGTTTGATTCCATTCAGCTCGATGACACATCAACCACATGGTAGCATCGAGAAACTACTTCCTGGTTGAAGCTGAGGTCTTCAAGTTAAGAAGAAGATATGGGGAAATCTCTCAGCTCATTACAGCATAACTCAAGGCAAAAAGGGTTATCGCTCAATGAAAACTTTTTGAGTTCGGTTCCATTAAGCTCGATGACGTATCGACTACTCTCAGGCTAGAGTTTAAACTGAGGTCTTTAAGTCGAGAAGAAGACCTGGGTTAGCTGTGTCTTAATGACAAGAAATCATTTTCCGGTAGCATAGCTTAAGGCGAGAAAAGCTATATGTCAACAAAGATTTCTGAGTTCAATTTCAAGAGATTATCAACCACATGGTGGAGTCAAGGAACTATTTTCCAGTCGAATTTTTTAAACCAATGTCTTTAAACCGAGAAGAAGATCGAAGTTGATTACAATTTGGCAACGAGAAGTCACATTCCGATTCAAATTCTGAACTACGACTTCAATTCCATATCACGTCGAGATGGACTCGACTTCACGATGGAGGAGCCATCCACAACTCAATTTGACAGAGAGTTATTCTTAATTGAAATATCAGAGTCAATTTTCAACTCCACCGAATGAAAATTTACGTCATTT